CAACCTAGTTTCAGAAGATGTTGTCAAACTTGTCATTTTAAAACTTGTCATCGCCAAAAACCAGTGACCTGGATTCACTACCAACATATTTGTTAGTGAAGTGTCTAGATACCTTATTACCATATACCGGTATTACTTATATTATCAATGCATTCCTGTCTTCTGGTATTTTCCATCTATTTAATTCTATTCCATCCACTAATTAAAAAGCCATCGCTCGACCCTGATGAATTATAGAACCATCGCCCCGTTTCCAATTGTCGTCCCTCTCAAAGATTACAGAAAAAATCGTCCCACTTCAGTTAAATGACCATCTAGTTTCCAACAACCTATTGAACCCACTACAGTCTGCATACAGATCACACCACAGTACAGAGACTGACTTACTAAAAATCGTTAATGACCTTCTGGACGTGGTAGACATGAGGAAAGTCAGTATTTTGACTATATTGGACCTTTCTGCTGCCTTTGACACCATCGAAAGTGATTGAAACACACCTTTGGCATTACATCATTCGCCCATTCCTGATTCGAGTTATATCTAACTGGAAGATCACAGACCATTTGTATTGATGGCGTGAAGTTGGATGCATCACCATTGCACTTCGGTGTACCACAGGGCTCAGTTCTGCAACCCATTTTGTTTGTCTTATACACATTGTAATTTTTGGTAAAAAGTAATGACTCATTTCTTTGATATTGAACATAGAGGTTACTTGAATGTCTTTAATTCTTTAATTTTGATAAATATGTTTGTCATTTAAAAAAAGTGGTAAAAGGTGATATTTTGGTCTTGTTGAAAACTGCAAGTCTGACTGCTTCATAGATGGACCTCTCAGATTTGGTAAAAAGTGATTTTTTCGACTGATTGCTTTGAAAATAAAAATTCATTATAGAAAAAACGGAAGGAATAGCACAAATGAACTGGCTCCACTTTGTATCATGTCACATCAGTGTAAATAACTGTTTGGCACTAACTGGACTAAACTGTAAGAGTTCTTGTCATTGTTTTAAATACTGCACAGACAGTACAGATTGCTTGATTTCACATAGTGCATCTCAAAGTGCATATAGCTGTGCTGGTCAATAGACCTCTTGTGTAACAAGCTAATCTTAAATTTAAATTTTTTTTTTTTGTAGTTATCAACTGTGGACCACCTGAACCAATATATAATGGTAACCGGGACAGAAATTTCTTTGGTTTAGATTCAGTTATTTTTTTCGAATGCAATGATAATTATCTACTTGAAGGTAGCAGGTCAACCAGATGCCTTGAAAATGAGACATGGTCAACTCCAACACCAAAATGCTGGGGTAAGTTTTTAGTCCCACGTTCGGATGAAATCGGTCTCTGTTCGTGCGTCCGTGCGCCCGTCCGGAGTCATATCTCAGAATCCCTTTGACCGATTCCTTTCATTCTTTGTATGTGCCTAGTACTTTTATGTGGGACATATGCACATGCAGTGGTTTAGCGATTCGATTCAAAATGGCCGACTGGCAGCCATCTTGTTTTTTGAAAATGTTGTATTTTGGACATGCTTTGTCAGTTTTCATTCAAACTTGGTACATAGATTATACATGTTAGGATACATGTCCATGACAATTTATTTCACAATTGGATCAAAGATGGCCGACTGGCAGCCATCTTGTTTTTTTGAAAATGTTGTATTTTGGACATGCTTTGTCAGTTTTCATTCAAATTTAGTACATAGATCATACATATTAGGATACCGTAAAAACTCAATCAATTCGGCCATGTAAAAATAAATATATTTGGGGGTGGGCCAATTGACTGAATAAATATAGAAAATATGTTTCCAAAGTGGTCGATTTGTTTGAATAATTTTTCAACGTTTTAAAACTGGGTTCGAAGTGTGTATCACCTGGTAACTGAATAAATATATTGTTTTCCCGGGATTAGAGTAAAGGTGTAGTACTAGTCTGAGACTTGACCCAATTTTAAAACAAACTACAAGCGCGTTCAAGAAATCTGACGCAACCAGGCCACCTGCTGTTTTGTTGCCATGGAGACGACAGTTTTATGTCACGCTCCCCGTAAATGTAAACAAACATGGTAACGTGAAAAACTCACTGGAATAGAGTAGAGTAGAATAGAATTATGCTTTATTGCTAATTGCTGTACTATTTTTTTGAAATTATCTACAATTAAACTATACATACAATACAATAATATATTTTAAATAAACTACAATAAATAACACTGAAAAACATAATACAAGACGACACACTGATATTTTGTTACGGTATCTCTTTTTGGAGAATGTGGTGGTGGGTCGGAGCGGGTGGTGTCCGGTACATAGAAGCAGGTACAGCTGGGACCTCGGCAGTTGCCTAATAGTAAAAAATTAATCGATTCGAGACATGGCTAGCGAGCGACAAAATAAGTACTAATAGCTTGTAGAAAACTAAAAGTGAGTGTCTTTCCCCAGAGAAATCGCCACTTTTATAGCATGATACTCTGACCAGCCACAACATTATCACATATTCTTTTGAAATTAAAGGATGTACCGGGGTACATCAGTCAGTACTCAGTCTGACGTACAATGTCGAAATGATAGGCCCAGGATTCACACCTCACATCGTCTCGTCTGCCACTTTACCGTAACCACGCACCGCTACTGAAACCGCTTCTATGAGAGCACAGTCTTCACTTCACGGTCATGTTTTTTTACCCACAGTTGAAACAAAACAAAAAATCCACCCGACTTTTAAACGAACAACGTTGTAAGAGGAAGTTTAGAACATAACTGGGACGACTGTGTCGAAACAATCCAGCCGGTGATTTTATTTTGGTCAACCCAAAAAAAAGAAGATATTTTGACGTGCTGCGTGACTGTGTAAACAAAACCATGTTCAATAAAAATGACGCTTTCACGCTACACATTGGCGACTTTGTATCGACTTACTGGAAATGCCGAAGACGATACAATTTGCAAGTCGGCATTAATTAATTTTTTACCCCATTAACATTAATAATCTACTTGACTTTTAAACAAACAACTCTGCAAGACAATGTTTCGAACATTACTGAAACGACTGTGCTGAAACAATCCAGCAGATAACTTTATTTGGGTCAACCGAAAAAAAGAAGATATTTTGACGTGCTGCGTGACTGTGTAAACAAAACTACGTCCAATAATAATGAGGCTTTAACATAACACATTAGCGACTTTGTATGACTTGCTTGAAATTCCAAAGACGAGAGTCAAGTGTCGGCCTAAACCATGGAGCTTTGTTTCGTCAGTGACTGCTAGCAATGACTTAAAGTATTTGTTCGTTATCGATATTTTTGGCGTCGTGATGAGAATTTTCTTAGCGATTATTTACAACTGATGTACTGGGTAATTTGTAATGACAATCAACAGAGTATATTTCACCATGGACGTACTAGAGATTTCACACATCTTTTGTACAACCACGGTTGACACCATGACTGCACATCTGGCGGATATTCCGATTGCTTATACCATGGATGTAAATGCTTATACATGTACATTGTATTTACGTGATAGATGTGTGAAAATATACCTTTGTTGAGAGAGTGACGTAAAAATCGGGCGGTGTCATCACCGGGCGAACTAATTGAATACAAACAATAGACTGACTGGACAGATGGCCGAACTAACGGATACATTTTAAAATTAACCATGACGCAAAAAATAGGTGGCCGAACTATTTGAGTGGCCGAATTGATTGAGCTTTTACGGTACATGTCCCAGACCGTCCATGAGTTCCTGAGTCTGTGTGTCCGTCCGTGTGTCAGTCTGTCCAGAGTCATATTTCAAAATCCTGTGGACCGATTCCGTTCATTCTTTGCATGTGCCTAGTACCTTATGTGGGACATATGCACATGCATTGGTCGAGTGATTCGATTTAAAATGGCCGACTGGCAGCCATCTTGTTTTTTGAAAATGTTGTATTTTGGACATGCTTTGTCAGTTGTCATTCAAACTTGGTACATAGATTATACATGTTAGGATACATGTCTATGACGATTTATTTCGCAATTGGATCAAAGATGGTCGACTGGCAGGCATCTTGTTTTTTTTTATGCAGTATCTTGGACGTGCTCTGTCAGTTTTCATTCAAATTTGGCACATACATGTACTTTATACATGTTAGGATGCATGTCCATGACAATTTGTTTCAATATCTGGTCAAGGATGG